TTAATAAAAATACCCTGCAATTGTACTTTTATTATACTAAACTGGTATACTTAAAGTCTGCTAAACTGGAACGACTACTTAATGCACTTTAATTGTGCAGAAGTAGTGCTGAAGTTCAACTAAAGATATACTGAAGTGCATTTGATTTGTGCTAAAGTGGAACTATTGCAAGTATACTTCAGGTACACTTACCGATATTATTCCGATATTATTCAAAGATCATACAATCCTCATCAGTAGTGACATTAAAACACATTTTAGGCTTAATATTAAAAAGCGTGCATTGTGCACAAGTAGCACACCCAATAAAGTTTAATTATAATTTTTATATCAGTAATTCTCAAACGATATGTCAGTGAATATGTTAATAGATTTGAACTATACTTAGTATGAAATAAATGTATTTTAAATATATTATTTTTTTACTAGGAGGTATTTCCAGGAAAATTGCACTCATGGCTTTGCTGTTGCTAGTGTCATAATTTACCAGTTGAATTTGATGATTTTATACAGGTTTGTGTCAAGTTTCTGCACTTTGCACTATTTTTTTTATTTTCTAATAGATTTTTTAAAAATTACTTCATATCTGTACATGTTTAATGTTCATGTACTTTCCTATATTAAGTAAGACATTTTAATCACAATAAATCAATTGACTGGCTGCTTCATTACTAAAGCTGTTGATTAAAACTCTCTGGCACTGAATGCATACAGTTTGGAGGAGAACTGTCTTCTTATTCCACTCAGCTAGTGGCCGCTTGATTTGTTAACTTAGAAAAATGTCAATATATATATATGTCTTGGTGTTATATGTCACTACCATGGCCATACCCAGGCGTTGAATATTAGTGAGGTCCGGTGATGTTGGGGGTTGGTGTTTAAAGAATTGTGTTATAATAACCCCTATACAAATACAACCTATAAACACTTTAAAGGAGACAGACATGTAGATGTTTGTGAAAGATGTTTTCTCTGTTTTGGATGGATGATTATGTTTAAATCATACCCTATTTATAGCATCAAAATTTAGTATATTTAAGGGTGGATAATTTTATCAGTTGTTTATTGCAACAATACATAACTACAATAACTTTGTCTAGTGCTCTTATGAAAGTTTATAGCATGATTTGTGAAAATTTAACTATACTGAATGGCATGGCATAGACTTTTTCATGGCTAGTTTTTGCGTATTTCATTTCATTCTGTAGCCTACTTGTTCTACAGATCTGTGTGTACTAGTGTTAAATGCTACTGTTTTTGACAGCGTTGATAACGTTTATGACAGATAATATCATGATCATTTTTGCGTTTCCCTTACCGAATTTCGTATCCTGTCAGCAAAAACCTGTCCATGGGCTTTTTTGATTGCTTTCAGTTTAAGTGCCGGTGCAGTGTTGCCAGATATTGATGCTAAAACAACCAAAAAACTAAAAATAAACCGAAATTATTTCCAATCTTTTGCAAATAAGATAAGATAAAGATATCGCTGACTCTAAACGGCAACTTCCTACTTTATTAACTTTCTAAAGTGTTAAATTAAGTGGAAAAGACAAGTCCAAAAATGCTTATAATACCTTACTCACAACTCTCTCAAGCCTCGTTCTCTCCGCCAGCGTCTCTCAGCGATCATTTTCATACCAGGGACGCTAAACATTCTTGCAGACTGTCTAAACTGAATTATACATGTTATGCAGGCATTCATATGAGGAGTTTAACAGCAAATTAGTCATTCAAAGAACACATTTTATTTTTGAACATGAAAAATTGACAGAGGTCCGGACCTCGGTGGCCTCATAGCTGGTTACGGGCCTGGTCACTACATAAGTAGTTTTTCAACAGTTGGCAAAACAGTTTACAGACAAGCTGTTATGTGTAGGTGAGTACATTTAATATACATTATATACTTACAGGCTTTAAGAAATTTCAACAATGTAACGCATATCTTTAACCCTGCACCTGGGGACCCACTGGCCTGTGACTTTTCAAGTGATCCTGAAGACCTCGATTAGCAGGTTCTGGTGTGTTTGATTGGGGTTGGAGCCAGTGGCCGAGCTAGAGTTTTATACGGGGGTCCATAGACCATGACAGAAAATCACTGTATGACTCCAACCTGGCATAAAAACAGTATGAATAAAACTTACAATTACTGATTATTTCACATTACCTCACATTAGCTATATACATTCCTACCATAACTTCAGCAGTTGAAGCAAAAGATCTAACATTAACTTATACAGTGAGTTTTGTAAATGTTGTTCAGGTAACTTCAACTTCAAACAGGGCTGCCAACTTTTGAGTTCAGTCTGGAGTGAGAATTATTCAGGAATAATTAACAAGCTTGTGATTAAGTAGGCTTTTTCTCAATTTTTCTAAACTAAATTATACAGGAAGCCCTGTTGTTGAGGTTAAAAGTAACAATTGATTGGTATACAACAGTGGCGTAGCCAGAATTGTATTTTTGGGCGGGCCTGGGCAAAAGTGAGTGTGCACCTAAAGGACGGAGTCCAGTGGCTTAACCAAGCAACGTGCAAACTTTGCACAAGAGTTATGCTGTGAACACACCTCTTAATCTCAGTCATTCACTAGAAAGTGAAAGTAAAAACTGATGGCGCTTTCGGTATCTGACGCTGCATTAACGGCGCATATTCTCTCAGACACGACGGGAGACGAATCTACTTCATTATGCTGATAATACTATGGTAGCCATAGAGCTAAATGTTTTAATTTACTCCCTTAATATTTCTCTTGTGGCCCGAACATAGTGGCCTTTTTAAAAAAGTTGGTGCTTGAAATAAAGCATTTTCATTGATGATTGCAGTGTTAATAATTTTAATTATAGGCCTATAATTCATTGTATAATAAACCTGTTTTGAAAGACCTTTTTAAAAACATTTTCAATGAGGAGTAAGCTAGGCTAATCTTTATTAACCTCGCAGTGCGTCAGTTTATGGAGGACGAAACCTGCAAAAACAATAAATAAATATGCAAATACATAAATAAATGTGTGTATAAATACACAAATTCTTGTTTAAATACATATAGAAATAATTAAACATGTGATTAAAGTAGGCAAATAAATAAAATAAATTAGTGGGCAAATGGAAAATGTTGCGCAGAGGGAAAAAAAAATGTGGAACTACATTCAGAAATAAATGAGTGATCAAAGGAAAATAGTTAGGATGAGTTTAGCATTTCCTTAAACATTTTCTATTTGCCCACCAATTTATATTATTTATTTGCCTACTTTCATCACATATATAATTATTTATTTATGTATTTAAACAAGAATACGTGTATTTATGCACACATTTATTTATTTATTTGTGTATTTATTTATTTATTGTTTTTGCAGGTTTCGTCCTCCATATCAGTTATGCGGTGATGCGCTATGAAATGATTGCGGGGCAAATTAATTGTAGCCTAATATTAATTTAATAATAAAAGTAACGTAATAATAATAATAGGCCTAATAGGCTAATAAGAAGAATGTAACAGGCTTAATTGAAAATGCCAAATTAGATATAACTAAAGTGTATACAATTATTTTATTCAGAAATGTCATGTTTGTGATTTTTTTTATTTATTTGTTAATTAGTTATTTAAATTAACAGGCCTACAAATTAGGATACTGGTGCAGTTAATCGCCGGCGTCAGTCACAACATTTATAAAATAAATAAATAAATAGGCTAATGTGAGGACGACTGGCAACAGCTGGTCTTAAATTCTTTAGACACCGCATACCAAACGACTTTGAACACCGACTGAAAACCCTGACTGAGCTCAAATGACATTCATAATCGGCCTAACAGTGTTTCCCGGCTTCACAGAATGAACCGGTTCGCGCGTGCGGACTGATGCACGGGCTCTCTCCCTCGTCAGTGCGAGTTTTTAAAAGTCTTTTTTTTTTACAGAATTATGCATTGCTGCTGTTTTTCTAACATTTTCTAACACAGCTGCAAATTACAGTCCAACTGAATGGGTGAACACGCTTCGAATTTACATGCGCGACATGCCCGAAACAGCCTGGATAACAATTGGCTAACACTGCTGTCAATCAAACTCATTTAATTTATTTTAGTTATCTGACATGTTATAATAGTTCTCTAATTGTGTTCAAAAACATATTTTCAATATGTTCATTGTGATAAAAACAATAATTATTTAACAAATATATGTGTATAATAAACTGGGGGGGGCTTTCATCAGAGTGGGCCCGTCAGGCCCTTCCGCTGCCTACGCCCCTGGTATACAAGTTCATATTATACCATTTTTATAATACCGTTATATCTACATTTTTATTAACTATAATAAAAAAAGAGCAATTATATTGAGTAAAAAATAGTATAAATGTATTTTTTGCTAAATTCTCCTCGTGTACATTTTTCTCCCTAGTTTATGGACACTGAATGGATTTTCTGAGGTTACAGTGTTTTCAAGCTGCTGTCTTTCCTCGGCTGAAACACTCACTGAGTGATTGCATGAGGCTGTTCAGTAAGTTAGTGAATCTTTCCACACGCCCTCGGATGTTCATTCATGTTTATTTCATGCTAATTAGAACGCAAGAGCTCCAAAACAAAACTGTATTTATCGTTTGAAATTCTTAATAGAACTAATTCTACTTAATAAAACTATTCTTAATGACTCCCTAAAAATGCAATTTTTCATTTTGATGAGATTATTTTCTTAATATGGTAAAAATTATTTAAAAAAGGGATAGCTGTGACGCATCCTAATTGGATGAGACATCACATGTTTGAAGCTGCTGATGAATCAAAGTGTGCTGATCATTTCTTATGGGTTTTCCATTATTGTTTGGGTGAGGCGTGAACATATATGCATATATGCAATCTGAAATCTGCCATGTTTTCTTATGGGAAAAGCTCTTCTTTGTGCTGATGGTTTTTTTCATTGTATTGCATTGTTCCAGCTGTGCTGAAGTTCTGAAAAAAGTCAAGGCAGGCTTTTATTTTGAAAGGGTCTGTTTGGTGGGCGACAGAGCGCTGTCTCCGAGTGGTCTCGCGCTTCACGCTGCTGCCGCCGCCGCTCAGCAGATCAGACGCACGGTCGCGAATGACCGTAAAGCACGCCAAGCCGCTGCTGTATCTGTGGACATTTGCTTCCTCGGAGCCCGTTTGACTCTGGAGTATCCAAGCGGGATTGTTAGTCTGTGTAAGAGAGACACAGAGAGAGCAGTGAAGGAGGAGGAGGAGGCCACTCCTTTGATAAACTGTGCAAACGCACAAAAAGCTCGCTCATACAGCTGCTGCTGGCTTCTGTTTACATTCAGCAGATGTGTTCGGACTCATAAATCACTCGAGCGCTGTGTTTGGATCATCTGCGTTCACGATTATTCCCGTGTCGTGATCTTCAAAGAGGAAACAATGTAACCTGGAAACACGAATGCAGGTGAGACCACCCTGCAAACATCTCTTTTGTCACTGAACACAGAGTACCACGGTATTATTCGAAGTGCCGTCTAAATACCATGGTGCATAAACATGGTAATCATTCAGTACGTCTGCATAACAAAGTATCATGCTTTTACTCTCTGTTATATAACTGTGATATCACAGTATTGGTCTCAGTGACACTTTTGCTGTGTCCTTGTTACACGTTACATCTAACGTTACTTACTATAGTAACAGCTGCGCAGAGTTACCACCAACTAACCCTAAACCAAACCCTAACTTTATGCAAGTAATTACATGCTGCTAATACTTAAATCACAAGAACTTGGGTTGAATTACATTTAAAATATGGGGGTTCTTTGGAATTATTTGAAGTAACTTGGAGTAGCATCTAATACCATGGTAAATGAATTTGGTAAACTGTATTTTTTGCAATGGCCCTTGGTGGTAGATACAGATGGTGGTAGATACAGATGGTGATAGATACAGATGGTGGTAGATACAGATGCAATGGCCCTTGGTGGTAGATACAGATGGTGATACAGATGGTGGTAGATACAGATGGTGGTAGATACAGATGGTGGTAGATACAGATGGTGGTAGATACAGATGGTGATAGATACAGATGGTGATAGATACAGATGGTGGTAGATACAGATGCTACTCTGATATGAGCCGAACCGTCCGTTATTTGAAGTATAGTCAATCTCTTAAACGGACTGACTGCTGCAACACATGAAATCCGGTGTGACGTGTGTAATTTGACCACCAACAGCTGCTTTAAAGGGATAGTTCACCCAAAAATGAAAATGTGATGTTTATCTGTTTGTTCACTGTGTAAACAATGAGTGACAATGATACGCGCGAGAGATCACTTCCGGCGCTTGCGTAAACTACGCAGA